CAATATGAAGAGCCCTCAGACTTATACTGTTTCATAGTGCTTTATCTCTAAGCAGTCAGCATATTGCCCCCAACAATCTGGGTCCCCATTTTTCCAACCTCAGAAGGATGGAAGGCTGAGTCAACCTTGAGCCAGTCAGGATCAAACTGCTGGCAGTCGGCAGAATTAGCCTGCAATACTGCTTTCTAACCACTGCGCCACCAAGGCTCCTATTAACATATTAAATCAATTAACATATTAAATACAACTAACATACTAAATCTCTCTTGTGGTTCCCCCCCCCTTTTCCACTTTTCTCTTTGTACATGGGAACAATAATTGATTCTTCCAAGCATCAGATACAGCTTTAGTCTTTAATGTTGCACAAGTCATGTCATTCAGTTAGCAAACCACATCCATATTTAAACATTTCTCCAGTTACACCAGCTGCACCTGTAGCCTTATCATTTCTCTCACATTCTCACAAAGGGAACCCACCTTTGAGCTTCTTGATCATATATGGAACTCTATGAGAATTATATGGGCACCCACAAAATGTTTCTAGGATCAGATAGCAGACAAAAACCTAGATTACATTTCATTTTTTAGAAACAAAAAATGAAATGGACTCTAGATTGGTCCCAAAGACACTGCAGAAGAACAAATTATGCTTGAGGCTAGTCCTTTGCAGAATGCCAGCTTATTTATCTCTTTTTAAAAAATGAACTTAAAAAGATTAGAATAATTCAAAATCTGCAGATTAACAGTTCTGTATAAAATTGAAGACAGGAATTGAATGGAGTGCCACAACAATCACTCTTCTACTGTTCAATAGTTTTCCTGATGTTTTAGATGAAGAAGTGGAGGAAATGCTTGTCAAATTTGCAGATACAACATAGGCAAAATAATAATAGTAAGAGGCACCTTGGGTGGAATCACAAATCATCTAGACTAGAGCACCACTATCAGCATTGACAAAATCACTTTCAATCAATTGCAAAAGGCAGTTTTACACTGTGGGCACAATTATTAGGCAAGCTGTATTTTGAGGGATTAATTTTCTTATTAAACAATTACAGTGCTCTCGGTCAATCCAAAATATTAATAAACCTCAAACCTAAATATTTAATAAAGTAAAAGTGAGGTTTTGGCTTTCTCAGGAAAATATCTATATATGCATAATTATTGGGCAACTATTAGTGTGCAGAACTAAATGAAAAATGAAAATTTGCTCATCTCACTCATTTATTTGCATCTGTTAAAGTGAGAATAATAAACAAACAACTCAAAATGTACAAATAAACATTTCTGACATTTCAAAAAAAAAAATCAGTGACCAATATAGCCATCCTTCTTTTCAATAACTGTCATAAGCCTTCCATTCATGGAGTCTCTCAGTTTGTTGATTTGTTGACAATCAACGTTTTGTGCAGCAGCAGACACTGTTCAGAGAGGTGTATTTTCACTGTAAATCTCCTGTTTAAGAAGGGCCCATAAGTTCTCAATAGGGTTTAGCTCAGGTGAGGAAGGGGAGCATGTCATTATTCTTTCATCTTTCAGGCCTTTACTGGCTAGCCATGCAGTAGAATACTTTGATACGTGCGATGGAGCATTGTCCTGCATAAAAATCATGGTCTTCTTTTTTCCTGTACCACTGCTTGAAAGTGTCTTCTGAAAACTGGCAGTAAATTTGGGAGTTGATTTTGAGTCAATCTTCAACCCCCAAAGGTCCAACTAGCTCATCTTTAATAATACCAGCCCATATCAGTACCCCATCTCCACCTTACTGGCATCTGAGTCAAAGTACCCCATCTCCACCTTACTGGCATCTGAGTCAATAGGCTCTGTGCCTATTACTGATCCAGCCACAGGCCTATCCATCTGGTCCGTCAAGAGTCACTCTCATCTCATCAGTCCATGAAGTCTTTGAAAAATCTGTCTTCAGATATTTCTTGGCCAAGTCTTGTTGTTTCAACTTATGTGTCTTGTTCAGTGGTGGTCAGGTTTCAGCCTTCTTTACCTTGGCCATGTCTCTGAGCACTGAACACCTTGTACTTCTGGGCATTCCAGGTAGGTTGCAGTTCTGGAATATGACAGCACTGGAGGATAATGTGTTCCTGGTAGCTTCATGTTTGATTCTTCTCAAATCTTTGACAGTTAATATGCGCCTTTTTTTCTCAACACATTTCTTGTTCCAGGGGACTGGAGGCTAAAACATATAAAGAACGGTTGCTGGAATTGGGTATGTCTAGTTTAATGAAGAGAAGGACGAGGGATGACATGATAGCAGTGTTCCAGTATCTCAGGGATTACCACAAAGAAGAGGGAGTCAAGCTATTCTCCAAAGCACCTGAAGGCAGGACAAGAAGCAACGGATGGAAACCAAAGAGAGAAACAACCTAGAACTAAGGAGAAAATTTCTGACAGTTAGAACAATTAATCAATGGAACAACCTGCCTCCAGAAGCTGTGAATGCTCCAACACTGAAAGTTTTTAAGAAGAGACTGGACAGCCATTTGTCTGAAATGGTAGAGGGTTTCCTGCCTGAGTGGGGGGTTGGACTAGATGACTTCCAAGGTCCCTCCCAACATTATTTTTTATTATTTTTATTATTATTTTATTATTTTTATTTATTATTATTATTATTGACAAAACATTTGATGGTTCTGTGATTATCTTAGTTATTTCAAGTACTGCATCCCTCTAAAAGACTTTTTATAATTTTTTATTTTTCAGAATCAGTTAAATCTCTTTTTTGGCCTATTTTGCCTGAAGAAAAGAAGCTGCCTAATAATTATGCACACCTTGATATAGGGTGTTTATCTTCTTAGGCCACACCCTCCCTCATTACATAAATACACATCACCTGATATGCTTATATCCACTAAGCATTGAAGTTTATACAGCTTGGAAAATATGCATGAAAATAATGATACAGTCAAAATATTCACTTGCCTAATAATTATGCACACGGTGTACTTGGAACAGCTTACAATATGTTTAATACAATCAAAAAACAACATCTCACTATCTTAGGTTCTTGAGAGGGATTTGGTAGGTGGATAAAAATGCCAAATCCATCTAAACATCTGGCTGACTGTGCAGCAAACCATAATAAGTTTTCACAAATAGGTTTTAGACTGTGAATCTAACTGTAGATTATGGAGATTCTCAGTCATCCAGGTCATGGTTGCCTCAAAGGTGCTTTTTCAAAAGATAATTGGGCTATATATTTTTTTTCCTTGAGGAAAAAGATGTGCTTCTCATCCAAGAAGCTTCATCAGTTCTTGTCCAAGAAGATGAAGCTTTTTGGATGAGAAGTGAAATGTCTTTTTCTTCATCTAGCGGAGGGGGGGGGGAAACATAGGTCAGTTGCCTTTTGAAAAAGCGCCTTTGAAACAATGTAGATTACCCACACATAATAGTAATAATAATCTGGTAGTGTGGTTAAATGGGATGAAAGTAACTGAGTGTAATTTAACAGGAGGAAGTATGAAATTCTTCACTTAGGACAGTGATGGTGGATCTTTTAGAGACCAAATGCCCCAAAACCGCCCCGTCCCTGCTGCGCCCACCCACTCTGCCCCTTCTATTGCTGCTCCAGCAGGGCCACCCACCACCTCCACAGCCTGCCGCAGCAGATCGCCCAGGCAGCCCTGCAGCGCCCTGGTGGCCACGTCCTCTGCCCATGCCCAATAGCATCATCTGCATGCGACGGGGCGCGAGGGCGGAATCTTGTCCCTGCTGTCCGGCTGCCATGTGCTTGGCCGTGTTGCTCCATGCGGGCTGTGCCAGGGGTTGACTCTCCTCCGGGGGGGCTGCTGGTGAGGGGGCTGCAGGGGAGGCGGGACTGGGGCGATGGCGCATGTGCCCACAGACAGGGCTCTGAGTGCTGCCTCTGGCATGCGTGCCATAAGTTCACCACCACTGACTTAGGAAATCAAGTGACCATAAAACTTGCTAATATTGTTTGCGAAAAAGATGAGTAACTAACTACAAACTATGTAGGAGCAAACAGTGTGATTTGGTTACAATGACAGTCAATGCTACTTTAGGCTGCCTTACAAGAAGTATCATTTACAAATCATGAGGAAGAATTATTCCACTCTATTCTGTTTTGGCCAGACATCATCTCAATGATTGTTACTAATCCTGAGTATCATACTTTAAGAAGTGTTCACAAACATTAGATAAATTAGCACTCTTCACATACCTCATGGCTGCAACACAGAAGAAGGACAAGGCTTGTCTCATTCCACAGTGCAGGACACAAAACATTGGACTTAAATTAGAGAAGTAGTGTGTTCCTCTTCACCAGATGTGTGAAAGTAAGTCTACACATTGACCTGTCTGGAATATTTTAATTTGGATTCCAGAACTGAGAAAGGGGATGCACTAATAGGCCTACACTGCCCCTTCCAACTATGATTAAAATAAAATAAAATTAGGCAACTTTAGAGTTGCCAAATATTCTAATAGTTTCAAAGAGGGACATACGTACCCTCCATTGTTTGAAATTATGAAGACTGCCTAATTTTATTTAAAGACACACACAGAATAGGACATTCATCATCAGCAGAAGGCACCTCTGTTCAGCCCCTGGCAACCTGGTGGATCTCAAGTAGGAACAATGCTAAACCCAAGGACATGGGAGAGCAACATGGAGTTGGCTGTATAATAGTGGAAGAAGGAGCCTCTCTTCTCTGGTAAAGCTATGTTGCAAAAATTCCTCTGAACTATCTGGGATGAGGGGGGTCAATCATATGCATGTCACCCATTCCTATGCATGCAATAATCAAATCAACCAATGTACCCCACACTTCTTCCACAGGCTTCAGTGAGCAGGAAGAGTGCTTTCTGATCCATTTCAAAGTAGGAGTTTTACAATTTTGGCTCACAAGACTGCAGCAGTCCCAGGAGCGAAGATACCCCTCCCTCTCCCCTTCAAATCTTCAAATGTTTCCAGTCTTACTTTGATAGAGGATCTTTGGGCACATCTCCCATCCTTGGTTTTGTCCTACCTGGAAAGTGGCTTACTCAGCGAGGGAACCAGCTGGTCACAAGCAATATGATCTGGTAAAATAACCGCATTAGCCCAGAATGCCAAGAGGTACCAGCATAGCCAGCCCAAAAATCATATTCAGGCATGTCCCAGCCTATGGCTTCAGGCTGTTGAGTCAGCAGCAGCAAGAAGGAAGACTTGTTTTGGAGTGGAGAATCAACGACTAAAAAAACCAGGAAAAGAGCATTTCAAGCCAGAGAAAGCAATCTTGCCACATTCTGTCAGAAAAAGCCAGCAAAGTTAAGAAGTTTAGAAGAATGTTAGACTCAACAAAATTGAAAGAGAGAAAAAGTAGGCGAGTGGCTTCAAAATACCTGAGCAGCACACCAAGCCAAAGTAGAAGTGGATCACAGTTTGAGAGCAAGAAAAATAATTTGAATATACCAATCTAGCAAACAAGCAAGCACAGCCAACCAAGAGATGAGTAAAGCCTGAGTGCCACAGCAGAGAAAGGCTATCCTTGCTCCAACGGTACAAGCAGCCAGCCGTTAATTGCGTATACAACCCTACACACCAGAGGGCAAGACCAACAGGGAACTTCATATGACTTTGCATATTTAAGCAAAAGGGACAATTACAAGAAGAGCAGAAGTGGTAGACTGGTGTTGCGAAGGAATGCAGTAACCCTCTCTGCATGTTTGTATGCAGATAGTTTGGCTGAAAATAAATGCCAGCCTTCATGCACTATAACTCAACACAAACTTGAGAGGTGCATCATCTTAAACAAGAAAAGCTTTGTACAAATAGATTAAATTAGTCTAATACAGCCTCAGTTCTCACATCATGGGAGAACCCAAGAGCTGAAATGTCTTATCATACCACCAGTAGAAATCTCACTCAGCAGGGCTGGAATCTTTTTTCACCTAAAAACACAGAGATACACACACATACACTTTCTTTCTTTTCTTGACTTTTTATCCACAAGTCCATAGCAGAAGCAGAAGTGAATCCTAGTGAGATAGTCTAAAGAACTGGTGGACTTAGCAGCATCTGAAGAGCCAGCTGACAACAAAACCAGCAGGACGTTACAAGGAGGGTTTCTGTTGGTCTTGAAGTCACATTTCCCCAACAAAGCTCAGTCACAAAAATATAGAAAAGCTTTTAAGCCAGTAACATCTCTCATACTCAGTTTGCATTCTGTAAAACATGATTCCAAGTGATGGTCCTTTACCAGAATCTAGATAGCTCCTAAAGTTAATGCATTTTATATAATAATCTAAAATATCAAGGTCCACAAGTTCAGTTCCTGGTAGAGGTTTTAAACCCCATGGAATAAAATTGGCCTCTACTTCTGATGATTTCTAGTAAGAATGAAACTGACCACCTACTGTCACCTGGTGGCCATTGTAAGAGAAAATACCACATAGGATATATACTATGGGGATATTATCAACTGAACATAAGAGCATTCAAACATGACATTTTGTAGGGAGTACATAGAACAAACAATTCCCATTATAATGCTATATATATTTTGGTTTAACTGGGAAAAGTTACCTCTGAAGACATTAAAAATCAAAGAGGCATGCAGATCCAAGCTCATGATGCCATCAAAACAGGGCTTGGGAAGGAATTCTTAACTTCTGATAGCAACATGAGAAGGAGGATCCCCAGTAAGGGTATCTTTCTGCAATTTGCCATCTAACATGGAGGAGATGGGAATCACATTGAGATGCTAAAGTTTGCAACAGTGAAATCCAAAAATGTACATATTAAACCTGCAGGATAATCATCCTAGAAATATTTAGTGAGCTACAGCACCTTGGATTATCAGGCTGATCTATGTGACGTGGAGTGGGGTAGTTAGTCTTGTCCTTCCCTACGACTGCAATAGCTCTACACTTTCTCTTGCATGAAGAGAAGCGTTCACTAGTTAAACTCTCATCCTATAATCTTCAGTAATTTACCTTGCCTTTGCAGTCAAGGGGCTCCTTGAAAAATGTTATAATACAACAGAGGATCCACTGAGGCAAAACGTAGTGCATCTTTCTCAACTGTACTTACAAACTTAATTCACCGGGATTGTGAATTGGTTTATATGTACTGGAGTGGGACGGCCCAGATACTGGCCTATGTCTTCCATAGGTATTGGTACTTCCACAGGCTCAGAAAAGATGACTTTCAATGGAAATGAGGTAGATTAGAAGGAAGGAGGACACAGGCAAATATTACAAGAGTCTTTCCCAATCCAATGTCCAATGCATGTGTCCTCCTGGAATGCAGTATATACACTATTTCCCACTGTAACAAGCCATAGAGCCTAAAGATGACCTTTGGTAGGTTTGCTGATTGTAAAGAATGCAAAAACTCTTCTTCTGTTCCAAAGATAGTGTATTATCCCATCATATGACAGTTGGCCCAATGGAAAGATGAACCTAAGCTGAAACCATGTAGGCAGCATCTTAACAATACCCGAGACAGATATGGAAAGCATGCCAGAGACAGAGAGAAAAGATGTAACATATTGTTGAATGGATTTGGTTTTGATTATGAAAATCCCAACTTCTTAAGCAAACACAGAGCACCTCAAGAATTCCTGCAATACTGGATCATGCTGAACAGCCTGCTTACCCCACAGACAGCATAGATAAGCAAAAAGATTCCTCAACAAAATGCTTTTTCAAAATCTGTAATGAGCGAAGCTCTCTGCAAACAGCAAGTCAACGCTACAAGGTTTGGATAAATCCATTTTTGGAAGATTCAAGGGGAATATGTTTCACTCCATTCCACATTTTGGATCCAGCTAAATCTCAACGTCGGAAAACTAAATTCCAAGTGCATTAAGTTTTTGGTAACCAAAGATTATTTATTTAAGGGATTTGACTGCGGCCAAATATAAATCCTATGCCTTAATGTTTAGATTTCACACGTTTGGAAGCTAGTAGCTTACTTTTTTATTAGATGAAAATTGCAAATCATCTACTTGATCCAGCAGTTATTGAACCATAAATCAGTGAGTCTGCTGTCACTATAAAGGCTGTTCTGTACCATCTTCTTCAAGCCCTTTATATGGACTCTTAAGAGGATTTTTACATGCAACTGAGATGCGTATATGTTGGAAGGGAGATGGAGATGAATTCTTTATGGGCTGGGCCATTCTTCAAGCTTCAAGAGAGATTGCAATGGAAAATGTCTTTCTACTTAAAGACAAACATGCTATTTGTAAAAGGAGATTGTTCTACTGCAACCCTGATTTTGCCATTTTTATTAGATCTACATCCCAGCAAATATAGTTGGGGGGGAAAGGCCAAACATTCTATTCCAGGTGGCCTCATGTGCACTATTTTTCTTGTTAAACCCCTCCCTCCTTCTTTCCCTCTCTTTATCTATCAACTAGTATAACAAACTCAGAATAATTAAACAATATTGGTTTCTGGAATCTGAAAGCGAAGGTGCTGGTGATATAATAGATGCTAGCAGAATCCTTTCAAGAATTAATTCTTTTCTTGATTAAAAGTAAACATTTGCCTTCTGAATACATTTTGACAATGTTTTATTCTTCTTTTTAGAGAATTTTACTGGAACCTGGTTTTCATCCTTGAGTGCCTCTATACCAGGGCTTTTCAACCGGTGGTAGCGTACCACTTGTGGTACATTAATGAGTGGCAGGTGGTACACAGCCTGCTTAGCCAAGTGTAGTGGGGGAGGGAAAGAGCCAGCACAGGCAAGGACTTACAGTGCGAGAGTCCTCTGGAGTTGCAAAGGCCCCAGGCTCACTTCTGGCTCACCCTCCCCCATGAGAAAGGAGGAGGGGTGGAGACAGGAGAGCCTATAAAAGGAGGCAGTTTGGGCAGGAGAGGGAGAGAGAGAAAAAAGCAGCAGCCTTGGGAGGAGGCAGAGTCAGCTGCACTGAAGGGGAAGAAGAAGAAGAAGAAGAAGAAGGAGAAGGAGAAGGAGAAGGAGGAGGAGGAGGAGGAGGAGGAGGAGGGTGGGGAGAGGAGGGGAGAGAGGAGATCAAGCAGGCCGGCCATGAGCCGATCTACAACTGCTGTGGCAGCCACCTGTGCTGGCAGCAGCAAACAGGCAAGAAATGCAGTGGGGGAGGGGTCACCCTCCAAGAGGAATGAAAAAAGGCAGCAATGGCTGGATGTGAGGCATGAGGGAGGGAAGGAGATGGAGAGTGGAAGGATTCTTATGTGCTTTTGTGACTTTGAAGTTCTGGGATTTGTGCAATGAGGGCTTTGTGTTCTTAAGGAGTGTTTGGCAATTTCTATTTGGCTGATGTCTCGTGTTAGCTTCTATTGCTCGGCTGTTGTTAGCTGTAAGTTTTGCTGCAAGGGATTTTTAAGTATTTTTCTCCTGAATGGATTTTGCCTGTAGCATTCCTTTACTTATGAATGGAGCCATTTGGGAGGTTGCCTTAGCCGGCAGCCAATACTTACATTTTTTTTTTCTTCCTTAAGTGCCGGCTTTCCTTTCTAGCCAGGAGCTAATTCTTAAAAGGGGATGTGCCTTTTTAAGCTAGTTCACTCAGCAGCTTGTCTTTTCTGTCTCTGGAAGCCTTTCCTTGTTTGATCAATATATGGAAGAAGGAAAATATGGGGGGGAGGGGGTTCAAATTCTTTTTTCAGAAGGAGATGGGAATGAGAAAAAGGGAGGCAGGGAAGGGAGGGAGGAAAGGAAGTCCCGCCTTAGCACTTGGCCACCAGCAGCTCTGCCATTGACTTTGCTTGTCAAAAGATTGCAGAAGGGGATCACATGACCCTGGAACACTGTGACCATTATAAATATGAATCAGTTGCCAAGTATCCAAATATAAATCACATGACCCTGGGCATGCTGCAATGGTCATAAGTGTGAAAAATGGTCATAAGTCATTTCAGTGCAATTGCAACTTTGAACAGGTTTTTTTTTTTTTGGTCATCAAGTTTTTGACACCTTGCTAGGTGGTCCTTGAATATTGCTATATCCTAAAAGTGGTACAATTGGTAAAAAAGTTGAAAAGCTCTGCTCTATACCATGAAGACATCAATTCAGACATGAGTTTATAAAACGAAGGAGAGACCACCAAGGCAATTAACATAATCCATCTCTCAGTCCCTGGCATTCATTGGTAGGGGGTATTGTAATAATGTGAGAACTTTGCATTCTTACAAAATGCTCCGATTTGTATTTTTCACTTCAGATCAAATCCTGTGTAAAATTAGCCCACACAATTGTGGAACTATCGTTATTGGGGAGAATTTCAGTAGTGAAGATGAGTGTTCTACCAAAGTTTCTTTTTTTGTTTCAGATGATACCCATTTTAAAGAAGGATGCTAATTTGGATGAGTGGCAGAAGGGTATTAATAAATTTATTTGAGGCGGGAAGAAATCAAGGGTTAAAGTTTAAGATTTTACAAGATGCTTGAGAAAGAGGTGGACTTAAAGCACCAAATTTGAAATTATATTATGATGCGGCCATTTTAATTTTAATAAGTGACTGGCTCAATTTAACAAATATAGATATTCTTGTTCTTGAAGGGTGGGATTTATTATATGGTTGGCATGCATATTTAATTTTTGATAAGAAAGTAGATGGGTTAAAGTTTAAGTAGTTCAGATAAAGTAGAAATAGTCTTATTGTATATAATAATGTTTTAATTTTGAGAGAGGAACTGCTCGGGCATTTCCCCTGGACTGCATCAAGAGGGAGGAGAAGAAGGTGAGAAGGTTGGGGTGAAGGAGGAGAGGGGGGTGGGAAGGTTGAGGTGAAGGAGGAGAGGGGGGTGAGTGAAGAAAAAGAGGGAAAGAAGTTGGTTTGAGGTGGGATGCGGTTTGGGGGGAAATGGGCGGGCAAGACCGAATGTGGTGTGTATCAATTTGTTTTATTTTTTATCTGAAGTATTTGTAAGATTGTTATGTATTGTAAAGTTGAAAATAAAAATTTTTACAAAAAAAAAATAATAATTGTGGAACCTACATTTTTGCCAGTCAGTTTAAAAATAGTTCTCTTCCATTTTCATTGCTGCATTAGTGTCACTGATATACTGGAAGGTTATCATGGAAGA